TACTTAGATTGCCATTGAGTTTGCCAACTTCGCAGCAGATCCCGACCTTTACTCCCTTAATGTGTGATCCTATAGTCCACATCCCATTCATTGATGTGTGCACCTCAGGGGGGCAGGGATATTTGGTGAGTGCAGGCCCAGGTATGTCGACTGCCCTCCCACCGTTGATTCCTGAGGCAGAGTCCATGGCGGAGAAGAGTGCAAGAGAAACACTCCGTATGCTCATCAATAGCTCCAATCAATCGAATTCATCTTCGTTGATGAGTGTTCTGCCTTCTTTTCTGCCTGTTAAGGAAGACAAGGAGCTAACCATGCTTACTGGCGGCAGTAGGGGTTTGTATAGTGGAACCGTAGACATAGGTATGAGAGAGATTGGTGGCGGGAAGTTTGTATTTGGGCAGATGACCGAGATGACGTCTGCAACAGGTGGCATTTGTTTGGATGATGATGATGATGAAACTTCAGGAAATGGGGAGAGAGTGATACAGGCGCGTGATAATAGGTTGTAGATTTTAAGGTTTTGTTGTTGTTTTTTGGAACTGTACAGTCACCACCTCATTTCAATATTTCAAGTAATTGTTATTATCGCCAATTAATTAATTCATCTTCAATGCCATGAAAGGTTTACCATTAATTAATTAACTTAAAGCATGGGACTGCCCCTCCGGGCTCTGGCCTCCCTGCTTTGGATTTCCGGGTTGCTTGCCATGTCGGCCTCTAATGATATTGCTGGAGCACAGGCTATTCGATGCTGGGTCCTAGATAGGCTGCTGCCCAAGCCGGCAAGCCCTTGTCTGATCAAGGCCCAGCAACTCCATTTGCTGTTGCTTAGATGCTCCCGCCTTGCACAGTCCAAACTTTTGATTGGATTTGGAGTTTGGACTAGGCTTTGGCTGGACAGTCTACCTTGCCTAACAGCCTAAGGGCTGCTGCCTGATCCAATCTCGGTGCCCCCTATCCAGGATCTACATTCTACAGGGTGCCAACTGCCAAGGGGTTGTTGCCCATATTTGCTGACTGTGCGGACCGAACAAGGAGGCTGGCTGGATCCGAACACCTTGCTCAGTTGAGCCTCTGCTGCCTGGCCGCCTGGGGTCTTGTCCTAACCAAACCCAGGGCGTGCTGCCTGCGAGGCTGTGACCTGCATCATGACTAGCGGTTGCTGCCAGGAAACTAACGTCCTGCCCATACCCACTATCAGGAGTCCAAGACCTCACATGAACCTTACCCCCCCCCTGCGCGCGCTGTTCATGACCTAAAAACCGTGGGCATGTCAAGAGGATTGCTGCCCAAGCCAAGTAGCTGCCCATATGTTGCTGCCCAGACCAACTCAAGGCTCCAAAGCAGGGACTGTTGGGGGCTCAAGGCTCCTAGGAGCTGTAGCCCAAGCATAGTTGCTTCTGGAACCCTCACTCAATCGATACCCTACCATGTCTGAGGGGGAGGAAGGTGGCTGTTGCTGGAATTGAAACCTTGAATCAAGGCCCCACTACCTTGGGACATGCTGCCCGAGACCCCGAATGGCCTGAACCCCTCGTTCGATCGAGGACCTGTTGTTGCTTGAGTGCTGTTGTAGCTTGCCTGGTTTCTGCCATATAAAACATTGAACCCCACTGCATGAGACTTGTGGAGTACCTATAGCCGATTTCCCTGAGGGGCTACCATTTTCTTTAATGATCCTTTTGATCATGCCAGAACGACTAGAAGGACATCAAGGTGTATCTGGCCTTTACCTTTTTGTTTAATTTTTTGTTTTTGTTTTGTTACCCACAATAGATGAATAAAGGCATGACGCTCCAATTCATTTGACCGGTCATGAGGGGGAGAGTGATCCACGTGCTTACAAACATTAAAAATTATTCTCAAACACTTCTCTGCAACAAAAAAATTGACGGCTCTCTACTCTCCAATTCATCAAAATTGCCAAATCAACATCACATCAAATGATCAGCTACACTCACAAATCAACCATTATTCTCCGCCGTGCCAATGACAACTGTCGTTCAAGATCTTTCACATCCAATAGTCAAAAGGCTACATTCTGGAGGAGACATTGGTAGGATAATCAAATACTAAAGATGAATCTCGTGTGCGTTTAGAACTCTTCAGAACATTAATAGTAAATGCACTATCACAATTCATTCAAGCTGATCAAGAGTAACTTTTGAAAGGAATGGATTACATGCAAGATCATGAAGATCCCTCAACCCCGACATCAAAGAACAAATTTTCAGAAGACATCAAAGGGGAAGGTGTAAGGTTTATACCCCAAAGCCTTTCCAAGAAGACAAAGGAAACTCAGCTGCACTGAAGATCGATACAAAAGGGAGCAACTTAATCAATCTCATCTACCCTCTCCTCTACATCGTCTGATTCAACACAAGGACAAAGATACCCGCACTACAATGCTGATTGAACACGATTGAACATCAATGGGGAGATTGTTAGAATAGTTTTATGATGTCCAATCATGTTATTTCTTTGTATTTGTGTTGTTATTACATTAGTTATTTCACATGGGTTGCTATTGTATTTAGACCCATTTACTATTATGTAATACATACGTTACCACCCTTACTTATATAAGGAAGAATAGAGGTTAGACATTAACTCACATTTGGAGAGTTGTGAGAATAGCAATTGTGTTCATACTATGTATGAAATTTCTACATCATTGTGGTATTTAATTGTAGATTTGTTTTATCTTTATTCTGTTTGTATTTCAGTTTGATTGTTGGGAATTAATTTCACATACATGACCTGCTTCAGACATAAGCCACACTTATGCTTGAACAATTTTTCCACACCTTCGATTAACATAGAAATCTATTTTCATTTTTAAAATGTGAGATTCTCCAGAATTGAAAATATACAGAAAGTCTTGGTTACTTAATAGTGTTCTTATGTTATATGTTGGACTACAAAATGAAGTAGCTTATATTATCTCTTTTGATTCCGAGTCCTTAGCAGGTTTATAATAAACTATCCAAATATAAACTCTAGTTGGTTGAATAAATGAAAATTTTATATTCATCAATATCTATTGCGTACAATAATAGCTTCTGGCTACATCACATGTATCCTATTTCCCGTAGATATTGAGTACATTGACCCATCAAAGCATTTCTCAACAGTCAATCTTTCACATATTATAATTATTGCAGTATATGGAAATAAATTAAATAAGATGTCCACTAAAATATTAGACATCATCACATCAATAAGATATATAATCATATAAGCTATTCCACAAATCACCAAATCAAATGCCATAGATATATAAATCAAACAATTTAGAGGGGGAAACATACATTCCATCATAGGCGCTTTAATTAGAATACATTCACCTATTGTAGACTCTTAGCTCATGGATGATTTTCTCAAGCAAACTCGAGTTTGTTGGCACCCTTCGATGTCATGATTGATGATCGAACGAGTTGTTGATTAGAGTTGTTCGATCAATTTTGGTTGATGATCGAACGAGTTGTCGATTAGAGTTGTTCGATCAATTTTGATTGTAGGGTAAGGATGGACTCGGTCCGGGTGGCCCGACCCGGAACCGGCCCGAACCGGCCCGGTGGCCCGGTCAGTGACCGGTTCGGTTAGGCTCGGCCCGCTGGGGTTCCGGTCCGGGCTCGGGCCCCTCAAAACGTGAACTGGCCCGGCCGGTTCGGGCAATTTTATTTATTTTTCTTTTTTTTTTTTTGAATTTTTTTTAAGTTTTTGGGTTGGGCTAGGTATTTTGGGTCATTTGAGATGGTTTGGGATGGTTTGGGGGTGAGGGGGGGGGGGGGGGTGTGGTGGTTAGGGGTTAATTAGGAAAAGGCAAAAAAAAATATTGAACCGAGGCCCGGCCTGGACCCGGGGCTTACCCGGGCCGATTCCGAGCCTCCCCTTTCCTGAACCGAGGCCCGGCCGGGCCCAGGCCCGAACCGGGCCCAGGCCCGAACCGGGCCCGAACCGGGCCGGGTCCATGCCTGTTGTAGGGTGTGAAAGAAGGTCGACGGCGAGAGCTCGTCTAGATAATTAGGGTTTTCTTTTTTAAGAAGAAAGAATCCGCAGTAGCCATTCCGATACGTATTAATAGATATTTGAGCATAAGACCTATACAAATATGGGCCAATCTATCTAGCTTGCCATTAAAGACGAGCACATGTATGGACATATATTTATCCACTGGGCCTAGTTCAGCCCATAAAAAATATGGACGAGCTCTGGATGAGGTGTAGGCACATTGAGACATATAAACTGAAATTCAATCATATTATAACATATAATTTTCAACTTACGGGTATTCCTTCGTGAGTAACTAACTATTGATTGAGCATTAAACTAAAAAGAAGACTTATTTGGTGATGACATTAATCAACTTTCTAAATACTATTTAAATGTTGTAATGCCAGTTCGTTGCAGGATGAACCGCTAACGCTCATGTGCATGTTTTGGGCATATTTTTTTTTTTTGAAGAATGGAATGTTTTATGGTTAGAGCTTAGGTAGTGAATATTAAAGTTGTGCACAATATTCACTTTTTACAATTCAAAAAAGCATAGAATGCTAACCCCAATCTATGCTGCCCACACACAAAGAGTAGTTTGTTTTCTTATACTAATTGGTCAACAGAAAAACTGAAAGGGTCTGATGCTACAAAATAACTAAATGATTTGCGGTATTTATGAAATGGTAACACACAATCAAATTGGAAGTTCATATTTAATTTCTCTAACATAAATATTGATCCCTATACATCATATACAACGTAAAAAGCTGATTTAATTCAATAATGACTTGAAATTAAAAACTGGTTTAAAATTAGAAACGCATACTATAGAACGCTTTGTAGAAGTGATAGATTAACAGATAATGCGAGTGATATTCTAAAGAGAAGACAAAACTAAATTATACTTTGTATATAGAGAAAACACTTAAAAAGTTGCATGAACTGGGTTGGTCTGACTGAACTTATTGGGTTGGGTTCAATTATAACTTTGTTAGTACTGCTTTATTTTTAAAGTAATATTGAATGTTGTTTAAGAGACTGTAAAAGTCAAACTGTAAACTTAAAAGTTGCATGAAGTGTGGGTTGGCCTGACTTGAAAGCATAACCCACCACGGTCTAAATTGAATATCTGCATTCACATGCCTACAAAACAAAGCATTCTGAGTATTGGGAGTATTAATTTACAGATTATAGTAGTGAGAGTATTAATTTACAAAGTAATTACGTAATATTATTTGTTCTTATAATTAAGCAGCAGTAGTTCCAACTGTTTCAGCAGCAGCAATCTTATTAAGCCTGGAGGATCCATAGAGTGTCTCCTCAAACCGAATAATCTCATTTCTGGAACCATAGGCTACCTGAGTCCGATCATCAAGACTTGTGATCACCTTCTCAAGCACAGAATCCTTCCCATCGCTGCTATACCCTCCTGCCTTCTCTATCAAGAATCCCAAAGGCGCCACTTCGAAAAGCAATCTCAGCTTGGCTTTCGCTGATGGAGATGCCACATTAGTGAATATACCCTTCTCTTTGACAATTATCTGCATTTTTTAAGGATATTTAATCGGAAGCTGAGAAGGGGAGACTTGTGTTTCTGTGTGTCCGAGAGATAACAGGTTTAAGTCTTGAGAGTGGCCCTTTGTCAAAATGACAAAGGCAGGACTTGCCCCCTATACTCCCTTGTGGTGGGAAGTGGGAACCTTCCCTGGACCCTCGTTTTGCGAGGGTCGCCAATGTGCACCAGTCTGCCTTTTATTAGACCTAAAGCTGCATTACGTTGTTGGAAATGGAAGGTGAGATTGAAAGATGTTTAGACATACCTGGTTTACATCGGGCACCATTCCTCCCGTGTATCTAAGGGTGTATTTCTCCTTCACATAGTAGTTTATCAGCTGCGAATTCAGAACATATTAAGCTCTCATGCAAAACAACATGTAAGATATTCAAGTACTCCTCATATCACTTAGAGATGAAAACAGTGAATGTTGTATAAATAGAATTAAACATACAAATTACAAGGTAACACGTTTCCTTAATAAGTTCATTTTTGTTTTTTTGCATACCCTATGAGAACTCTTTCACTCCAAAACAGGAATTATTAACTAGTTCTATTGTTTTTAAGACCGCACTAGTCTTATTTTTAGCACAAAATAAATATACTTCTATTAATGCACCTCTATTCTCAGTATTCTCACTGTGAAAAAAGAGCAAGACAACATGGTGCATGTTCAAAACCTTAGAGTAGTCAGGATTGTCAGAAGTGGCTCTCAAGTTCCCAGGTGAGAAAATTTTCCCTTCACCAATCTCTGTTGTGTCCTTGACATGTTGCCATTTCCCTGGTCAACAATTATGGTCATTTAAAAAAGAAAGGGACGAAAATGGGGGGAAGCCTAGTAGTCCAAGGAGAGTGTATATTCATATATGTGTGTGTGTGTAGGTATGTTGTGTCAAACTCGTTAAAGTCGGAGAAATCGTATTTAATCATTTTTTGTAATTTCTATATGATAGAACTCTGTCTAGGGATTATCCATAGAACCTACGGATACAATGTATCCATATGACTTACTCTTGTATACATACATTGTTTAATAAGCTTGATAAACTATTCTTCGGAACACTTTCTAATTCTCAGGAATCTGGAGCCTAGGCAAGGATCTTCACAACAGTGTATAGTAAAACTTATTCCACATGAAGGATATATTTCAACATTGATTTGAGAATGAGTGGAGTGTTAAAAGTCAGTACCGTCATCTAGGAGGAGGAATTCATGTGTTCCAGGAACATCATTGAGAGCAAGAACGTAGGTAGTGCGAGGTCCGAAGATCCCCATTGCAGCTGCAACTTGATCTTTCCCTTTAACACCGGTTAACTTATCCCCGGGCCACACGCCAAAGATGGTCCCTACTGTGAAGTTCGTGTCCACGATGCTTGAACCATCAAGTGGATCAAAAGCAACACTGAATCCACCTATTCATATATCACACTAACAGAGAGTTATACAAAGTACTTTTTCTAGTAATGCAAGTCCAAACAGTTGTTTGGAACCCAGGAATTACTGAAAAGACAATAGAGTTATAGAGAAGAAAATAAAGGGAAAAAATGACTTTTTTTATTCCAACCCAATAAATGAACTCTTAATATTGTTCAAACTCATGTTACATAAAAATATATTGCTGTTTTAAGACTAAGATATATAAATATATTCTCTGTATAATATTTTACATAGTTTTAATCAAACTGTTTTTTCTTTGTATATTTCAAGTTAAATCAAAACATAAAATAAACAAATTTCCCTTTCCCTACCATTTGCCGTGTTACAAACTCAAGTAGAGTAAAGGAGTGTTTGTGGTTGCTTAAAAAAAGCACTTTTCAGCTTTTGACTTAAAAAAAGTTGAAAAGAGTGTTTTCAAATGACAGCTTCTGCTTAAATTAATCACTTAAAAGCTAAAAGCTGGAAGCAGGTAGAAGGGTGCTTTAAACTGCTTCTCACTTTTTCTATTACACAAAAAGTACTTATTTTACCAAACACTACCAACTCTTACTTTTTCAGAATCACTTTTTTCTCAAACACTACCAACTTTTACTATTAATCACTTTTCTCAAAATCACTTTAAAAAATCACTTTTTTAAAGTTGAAGCAATTGCAAACACTCCCTAGGAGTGAATGAGTTATTTTTTTTAGGAAACAACACTACCATGATCCTGTATAATTGAATGTGTTATTTATGGAACTTATAAAAAGAATTACAATTCACACGAACCCTCAGTTGGTCCTCCCATATCCTGAAGCTCTGGGACTTCTTCAGAACAAGCATATTTGCAGAAGTGTGAATATGTCAAGGCCTAAACATTAAAATGGGGCTTTAAAAGATCAATATGATTTCAACAATAAGGGCCCATTTGGTCAAACTACTTGGTTGAATGGGATGAATGTTCTAAAAATTAAAGCATTTCGTACCATCCATTTCAATCAAATAAGTTACTGAAAAGCTACTTGTTCTGCTTTATTTAGCTTACTTGGATACAAGGACAAGCAAAATAAGCAGAATAAGTCAGGTAAAGCAACCAAACAGAACCCAAAGACGGGTTATATTGTGCTAAAAAACACACAATTGGAAGGTAAAGGAAACCTCAAAGAGGATTTTATTAGCAAGCAAATCAACAGCTAGCTGCTCATCCCCAAATGAATTCACACAAGCTGTTCCTCCACAAGAAGCCGTCCGGACTTTAAAGGCAATTGTTCTAAGTGCTTCCCCCATACACAACATTAGCCTGATCAGCCCCTTATCTTTGGTTGATTTCATGAGAAACTCTTCCAGGCTGTCACCTAATTCACATCTGGTCGCTGAGGAAGAAGTGCTCTTTGTCCTTGACACCTTTTGAGACGATTTAGGCGGTATACGCAAACACTCCCCCCAAAATGAACTCGGTTTCACACTCTGCACAACATTTTCAATATCACACCATCATCACATTAATTAAGAATTGTGGCTTAGAGTTCTAACCTGAACTTTTTGTATTGGGAATTCTTCTTCTACTTTAGCATACATATTTAAAGTTTAAATCTCCCACATTTGATAATCACTCTTTCCATCCCAAAAAAGTCATGTTTCAAACACTTTTTTGTCTCATAAAGTAGTCTAGTTTAATTTAACAAAGCTTTTTTTCAGGTGATTTGTGAAAACTGACATAGGAGTCATGGGCAAATTATATGATATAAATTTAAAGGAGAATAACTTTAAATTGTACTCCCCAAAGTATCACTGGTTGATACTTGATACTGATATACTTTTGGACTACAAATCCGTCCATTTAACTCATAAGCTTTACACCATGGTCTTATATCAAGTGTGATGGTTAAATGACCAGAATTACGGTAAAAAAACAGGCTTTGCATTCTTTTTGTAATATTTCACATAGTTGGCGGATAAAATTTTAATTTCTATAGTTGCTACTATTATTGATGGAAGGGTGATAATTGATACTCCTTATCATCTAAAGTTATTCTTCCCATAATAAACTAAACCAACAAATATATACGGAGTACTACGTATAAAATTGTAGGCATGATGCATAACTCAGCTCATATAGTTATACATTAAAAAGAAGATGCTGATTTTATTTTTGGGAATTAAAAACAACATACATCAAGCATTATGGTAATTCTCATGTCACTTGACCTTTTACCATATAATCTTAATTTATAATGTGATAGGTAGACATACATAGCATACCCTGTTATGGGTGAAAGATTGAGAAATGGGTCTGGGAGTAGCTAGTGCAGCTGCATGTTGGGAAGAAAGGCTTGGAAGGATGGATGCACGTGAGCAGCACGTGATGCCAGTCTCCATGGTTTTGGGGATTGAAGCTGAAATATGAGACAGAGGCTAAGAAGATTGAAAAAAATTAAAGAGTTTCTTCTTATTCTTTGCGCAGATTGAATTTGATCTCAGCACCAGTGGGCAGCATGAAAGGAGAGCTGCTAGAGCTAGTAGATAACGGATAATGGAATTGATGCCACGTGGAGGCACTTTTATATGGATATCATCAACATTCAATCATAGGTGTGGGTTTGACCCCAACAAAAATTTGATTTAGTTTCAGTTCCCTTTAACATTTCCAAACTTCAAACTATGATTTTTTTTTTTATGATTTGATTGATTAAGTTTATTTCGGTTCGATTTCAATTTTTTCGATGTTTCTACTACAAAATTGTCATTTAATTTAAAATGATACGATAGTCGAGTGATCAACCATATCACATTAAAAAATGCAAGCATACTAGAACAAAGAATATAAAAAAGAGGAGAAATAAATATGTCTTTAATTATATGGGTATGCGAGAGACAAAATATACATTTCTAAATTCTTGGAACGAAAGTGTATATATTCTCAATTTACATTTTTGGTGACTAGTTTAAAAACATATTATGAATATGTACATTATATAAGATATAGTTAGAGTGAGAAAAAAAAAATAGATATAGTTAGAGATGATATTTATTTGCCTTATCAATGAATTCCGCTTTCGATTTTTTTGCGCTTCAATTTAATTTGGTTGCGGTTCGATTTATTTTGATTTGTTTTTTAGATTTTGGTTTTTCAAACCCACCCCTACATTCAGATCAAATAGAAATATTCCAATCAAATTAAAAAAATCAGATAAAAAATATTTAGATTAGCCGAACGAAGTAACTCATAAATTGAGCTTCTTAGAGACACATAGGGAGTGTTTATTTATTCTTCTATTTTTTTTAAAAAAGTGATTAGTTTTAGAGTGTACAAAAACTGGGGCTCCTGAGACAGTGCTGTATTTGTCACGGGCCGAGTAGTTGCCGGTGGCGGCGGCGTGGTGGCGGTGGTCACTGACAACTCCGGTAACTGGCAGCATAAGTCACTGAGATATTAGTAACTAAGACGGTGGTCACTAGAGCGGATATAACTAGGACGACGGTGGTCACTTGAGTGATAGTAACTGGGAGGATGATCGTCGAAGCGGTAGTAACTGAGACAGTTGTCACTGGAGCGGTAGTAACTGAGACGGTGGTCACTGGTGCGGTAGTAACTGGAACTGTGCTCACTCGAGCGAAACAATGTTCACACAAACTTTAGTGTCATAATTTAAATATTTAGACACCCCTATGGTCACCGGGTCGGTGGTCACTGGAGCGATAGTAACTACTAATTAGGACGATGGCCACTGAAGCGGTAGTAAACGATGCGGTAGTCACTGAAGTAGTAGTAACTGGGATAATTTGTACACAAATTTTGATATAATAATTTAAATATTTAAGACTCTTATGTTTCCTTATCAAAATATGTAGCTTGAGAAATATGGAGTAATTTTAAAATCAAAAGAAACATTAATTTTTAAAAAATGTTAATGTTACATGCATTGGTAAGCATTTGCAATATGACAACATGAGGTTATCCCAATTATACGGATGCAGATTTAGAAATAGTAGTGCACCGGTAAGCATTTGCAAATTGCAATAGGACGGCGTAATTGCGTAAAGGATATCCACTTACGAAGGGTAATTTAGAGAACCGGGTGTTTATTAGCCATGCTTTTGGAAACTAAAACATAAGGTCACTTTTTTGTCAATTAACTCTTTTTTAGTAATATTCCTGTCAAAACCCCTAGTAAAATTTATAGTGTTTGAGAAAAAAATGATTTTGAAAAAGCAAAAGTTAGAATGTTTGATAAAAAATACTTTTTGTGTAATAGAAAAAGTAAATAGTAGTTTAAAGCACCCCACCCGCTTCCAGCTCTTAAGGCTAAACTGTTTAATTTAAACACTATCTCTGTTCGATTTTATGTGTCATACTTTGGTTTGACACAATTATTAATAAAGTAGTTGAAAAGTAAAAATTATGTTTGAAATTTGAGTATAATAGAGTGAAATGTTGTAGACAACATTTTTCTTTTAATTTGAAAAAATAAATGTGACACTTATTTCGAGATAACTCAAAAGTGAAAGTAAGACATGTAAAATGGGACAAAGTAGTAGTTATTTGAAGACACAATTTTAATTGTTTAAATGTAAAATTAAAAAACCACTTTTTAAGCAATGCTAAACACTCCCTTAGCTCCTTTAGATAAACACTTGGCTTCTTTCCCAAAGTGAAACATTTCTAATTTATATTCCTTGAATATGATTTATATGACCCTATATCTGGAGAGAGTAACTCTATTGATTTAAAAAAAAATTAAGGTGTTTTTTAAGGTTTAATGATGATTTGGTCTGTTAATCTGATCTAGTTTGTTCTTATTTGAATCGATCTAGCCTGATCTGGTTTGTTCTGATCTAATTTGGTCTGTTAAATCGATTCTGTTTTGATCTGATCTGGTATGGTGCAGAAATAAATTCAAATAAAAACATCCAGAATACCAATCCCTCTTAAGGTTTAACATTAGCTATTAGAGTTTAGCAATCTCTCTTAGCCACTTAGGTGAAGTACTGAAGTGACGGCTATATAGTGACTTTTTGACAACTTTCGGCAATGAAGGGGCAAAGATCTGATGAACGTCCAGTGACTCCCCAACGGCTACCAGAGGGTCAAATGACTTTCAGTGGTGATTTTTAGATTCGACGATTTCATATGACTTCCGGCGATTGATAGTTGTCTTGTTGTGGTGATTTGTGTTGAAAAATTTGTTAAAAATTGAATTAAATGGACAATTTTGGGCAATTTTTTGAGCGGGATTCACTTCCGATCTGGGTCGGGTAAAAGTGGTTTCGGATTGTCCTTGTTAAGCATTACAATTCGATATCTGACACGCTCACAACGAATAACAGGTGAATGAGAAATTGATTCTCAAAATTCACTCGTTGAAATGGAGAAAACTAGGGAAATGATGAGTTTCTAGCGTGATTTATCCCACATCAGAAAACCCAAGAGATTTATAACATGGAAACCATTCCTAAATTCACAATTGATGCGAAGCACAAATGTGGAATTTGTGTTGGGGCAAAACTGACGAAAAGGTCTTTCAAATCGATTGAAAGAAAAACGGAACCACTTGAATTAATTCATAGTGACGTTTGTGCTTTAAATCAATATAAACATGTGGCGGTGATAAATATTTTATTACTTTTATCAATTATAGCACTCGCTGTAGCTATGTTTATTTGTTAAAAATAAACACCAAAAAATCGATAAATTCATTCTTTATAAGAATGAAGCAGAAAATCAACTTAATTGACATATTAAAACGGTTAGAAATGATCAAGGTGGTGAGTATGAAGCACCAATTGGTGAATTTTGCGAAAGCGTGAGTATAGTACATGAACGTACCACACCATATTCACCTCAATCAAACGGTGTTGCCGAACGAAAGAATCGCACATTGAAAGACATGATAAATGCGAAGCTAGTAAGTTCGGGCCTGCCACAAAATATGTGGGGCGAAACAGTCTTGTCAAGCAACTACCTTTTAAATATGATTCCCCAGAAAAAATATGATAAACTCCCTACGAGTTGTGGAAAGGTAGAAAGTCTTCCTATCAATATTTAAAAGTGTGTGTGGTGTCTTGCAAAGGTGCTTGTACCGACAGCTACCAAAATAAAATAGGTCTAAAACGGTGTATTGTATTTTTATTGGATATGCACAAAATAATAGTGCTTATCGGTTTTTAGTGTACGATTCGAATAATCGGGATGTACATAAAAACACAATAATTGAATCAAGAAATGCCTCATTTTTGAAGATATATTTCCATGCAAGTCCAATGAAGAACCAAACACGTCAAAACGAAGCGGATTTTCTAGCAAGTTTGGTAGAAAATGAGCCCCGGACTTATACGAAAGTCGTGATGTCTATCGAAGGTCTTATGTGGAAAGAAGCCATCAAAAGTGAGGTGAACTCTATCCTACAAAATCACAAGTGGATTCATCAAATGGATGCAAAAACCGCTTTTCTAAATGGTGATATAGACGAAGAAATCTATATGGAACAACCCAAGAGCTTTTGTGTTCCTGGCAAAGAAAGGAAAGTGTGTAAATTAATTAAATCATGGTATGGATTGAAACAAGCCCTTAAAGAGTGGCGCAAAAAGTTTGATCATGCAATATTAATTACTGAGTTTAAAATAAACGAAAGTGATAAATGCGTCTATGTGAAGAACACACTAGAAAACTATGTCATTTTGTGTTTATACGTGGATGATATATCAATAATCTAATGTTAAATTCTAAATCACTCAAGCTCTGGTTCAAAATGGATCTTCTCCTCATAGAGAAGGCTCTCCTGGGCCTTTTCTTCGCCATCGTAGTGGCTGTAGTTGTCTACAAGCTTCGCGGCAAAAAGTTCAAGCTCCCGCCGGGCCCGATCCCAGTGCCGTTGTTCGGGAACTGGCTCCAAGTCGGCGATGACCTGAACCACCGGAACCTCACCGAGTACGCTAAGAAGGTTCTCCACACGCAGGGGGTCGAATTCGGGTCTCGCACGCGGAATGTTGTCTTCGATATCTTCACCGGGAAGGTTCAGGACATGGTGTTCACCGTCTACGGCGAGCACTGGCGGAAGATGCGGAGGATTATGACGGTCCCGTTTTTCACCAATAAGGTGGTCCAGCAGTACCGGGCCGGGTGGGAGGCGGAAATCGAGAGCGTGGTGGAGGACGTGAAGAAGAATCCGGAGTCGTGTTGAGGCGGCGGCTGCAACTTACGATGTACAACAACATGTACCGGATTATGTTCGACAGAAGATTTGAGAGCTAGGACGATCCTCTGTTCATCAAGCTCAAGGCATTGAACGGCGAGAGGAGCAGATTGGCTCAGAGCTTTAATTATAACTATGGAGATTTCATTCCTGTTTTCAGACCATTTTGTAGAGGCAGATTTGCAAGGAGCTTCAGGAGAGGAGGTTGAAGCTATTCAAGGCCGGACTTCTTTGTTGACGAAAGGAAGAATATTTCAAGCACAAAGAAGATGAATAACAACAGTCTCAAATGTGCTATAGATCACAAATGTGCTATAGATCATAATTTTAAAGCGGAACAGAAGGGAGAGATCAATGAAGATAACGTCCTTTACATTGTCGATAACATCAATCGAAACTACGCTCT